ACAGCCCCACACTAAAGGTGACAATGATGACCTCACAGCCCCACACTGAGGATGATGATGATCTCATAGCTCCACATTGCCCTCTTGGATCATAGCATTCTTGGGATCTGGACCATCCACGGTCCTTGTTGGGGAAGTGAGGACTAGCATGGCCTCTCCCTGTGGATGCTGATTGGGGACCTCTCCCAGTCTACTGGAAGTCCCTTCCAAGCACTTGGTGTCATTTTACAATGATATACCAGGAACCTCCTTCCCTTCTGCTCAGACAGACAGACAAGAATACATGGGCCTTGTGAACAGCAAAACAGAGACTCTCCCCACCACCACCAGAAAGAAACCAAGACATCTCAGACATAGTTTATTAGTTCATTTAATTTCCACAAGTGTGTCATCCTTTGGACCATAGACCCACATGCTAAGAACATTCAAGAAGATATGCCTATGTAAATACTGGTACAATGTGTGCCACATCCTCAAGATGGCAGAAACCTTTGCATGGAAAATTAAAATTAAAGCTGGGTGAGAAATGATCAAATCTCCCACTTTGGCCAAGACTAAGATCAGACACCAGCCCCCCTGTCAGCCACATTGGTTGAATCCCTGAGTAGAAGGAAGGGAGAGGACATGTGGCAAGGTGAACTGTGACCTCCAGGGAAAAGGAAGGGCCTGCCAGGCATGAGGCTTCGTCTGGAGGATCATTCGGCCTGGGAGACAGAAGGGCAGTGACAGCAGAGGCCAGAGGAGGGCGGCATGGGGAGGCTCTGTGGGAACACAGGAGAGGCCATGGGTGAAGACAAAACCAGGTTTCCTATTTTCCCCGACAGCAGCTAAGTGATAATGGACAGAGACTGGATTTTATCTTCAGGCCAAAGTGATTTCTGGGGCCAGTAGTCCCCGACAGGCTGCCCCACACTTGGAACATTTCCGTTCCCACACTGCTTTGGCAGGAGGTGACGGGGAAGTCCTATGTGGCACTGGTGTCCTGAGCCTGTAAGGACGGGGCTGGAGTGGGGTTCTGTGTGACAGGCAGCCCTCATTCCTCTGCCCCCGAGCAGGACACTTGTCTGACTGCAGCTCTTGAGAGGGGACAACTTAGGGCCAGGAACTTTCACAGGGGGTTTCCTATGGATCTAGTGGCCAAAGTTCAGCTGGCCCCCGAGGGACAGAACAGCTGCTAGCCCTAGCCCTAGCTCTCCAGCTGGGCCACAGCCTGCTTCAGGTCCTGCACAATGAGGTCCACTTCGGCCCTGGTGGTACTGCGGCCCACACTGAGGCGGAGTGCATTTCGGGCCACATCCACGGGGATCCCGCAGCTCAGCAGCACTGGGGATGGCCTGCAGGAGAGGAGAATTATTGGCTGCTGCTGAGGACTCTGATCTCCTTTGGACTCTGACCTCTCAGCCAAGGTCAGGCTTGAGATCCTCAAGCTTAGGGTGTGCTGTGTTCCCCATCCCAGTGCCCAGCTACATGGCCTGCTGACACTCACCTCCTGTCCCCAGACATTCTTCCAAGCCTACTCTAAGCTAAAGTGGTAAATTAATTCTCCCATTCTCTCTGGCATCCAGATGGGGAGCCACACTGCCTCCTCCCATGCATCCACCAGCTGTGTTCAGCTCTGCACAGAGCCCTGGCTCCTGGACTTTCCTGTATTGAGATCATGGTGAATGTTCCCCGAACAATGCCATCTAGTGTGTCACTGGGGCAGTCCCTGTGCCCTTCCTGTCTGTACCTTCCACTTGCCCTGGCTCTCCAGCTGGCCTCAGTCTCTCTGCTCCTGATGGAGCCTCGGCCACCAGGTGCTAGACTCCAGGCACTATCTGCCCTCTATCGATCCTTTCTCTCTTCTGTGAAGCACTGATTTCCTGAGAGCCTGGCCCTGTCCTCCTCTGCTGGCTGGCACAGGGACCCTCTTGTACTCCCTTCACATGCCCACGTACCATCCCGCCGGTTCTGGATCTAGTATTGATTGCTGGCTGCCAAGCCCATTCACCCAGCTTCACTCCCATCCACAGGCACCCGTATCATCTCCCAGCCAGGAGCAGAACCCGTCTCCCCTTCCACGGTCTGCAGCTCAGGGGCTAGGCCCTGAGTCGCCACCACCTCCACCTGAGAGTTGGGTGTAGCTGAGAATACTCACCGGTCTTCATGATCTGAGTGGCATGAAGCTCCCACACTGGCCAGCAGTGTCTGGCACTGTGCAAGCACCATGTATCCTATGAAGACAGCATGTGTCCTTAGATGCAGGACTTGGGTCATCTCCCATCCCTCCCAGCCTTCTGTGTCTGGTTCCCTGCCACCACCCACTGAATCCCAGTGCAAGCAGAATTCCAGGAAAATGACTTCCCTTTTCCTCCAGCTACAGAAACGCCAACCCTCTTCTGCCTCCTAAGACTGACTTGAAAATGGTATTCTAACCACCCACCTCACAGGCACTCTGACAGGCTGTCTTACTCATGGGGTGAAGTGGCAGGTAGTGCTGAGGTTAACTCCCTACTGTTGTGTTCACCCAGGACACACTGCCCCTTTCTCACAAGCCCGGGAATAACCCTAAAACTGTAGAACTGCTAGTATAGTTAGACCAAGAGCCTCTGCCACACTTAAATCAACACAGGTCATCACTGGGCACAGCTGCCCCCTGGCAAAGGCGGAGATGGCTTCTTCCATTAGGGGTCTGTGAGGAGGGCAAGCAAATCCACTTCAGCGGCCATCATGTTCCATCAGGACAGCAGGCTTCTCTATGACCCAGGGAGATAAGGTGGGACAGCCTCTTCCAAGAAGTCAAAAGCCGGAACAACTCAGGGGTTAAGAATAGCGACTGCTCTTCTAGAGGACGCCGGTTCAATTCCCAACTCCCACATGGTATCTTACAACCATGTATAATGGGATCTAATGCCCTCTTCTGGCCTGCAGTCAGCATGTAACAGCACTTAAATACATTTAAACAAACAAACAGGCAAACAAATAAATCTTTGCTGGGCATTGATAGTGACCCATGCCTTTAATCCTAGCACTCGAGAGGCAAAGGCCAGCCTGGTGAGTTCCAGGACAGCCAGTGCCATAGAGAAACCCTGTCTCCAAAAACAAAAAACAAACAAACAAACAAAAAAGGAAAAGGAAAAGAAAATTAAGAAAGAGCAAGAGAGAGAGAAAGAGAGAACGAAAGAAAGAAGGAAAGAAGGAAGGAAGGAAAGAGAAAGAAAGAACGAAAGAAAGAACGAATGAACGAAAGAAAGGAAGAAAGAAAGGGAAAAGTCAGAAGCTTCCTGCAGAAGCCCCCGAGTGAAACACAGATTTGGGGTCATGGCCTGAGGCTCTCAGGGAGCTGAGGTGTGTCAGTCCTGCTGGGGTCAGCTGACGGCTCTGGGGAAGATGTCTCCCGAACATGCCTGCACTTTGCCCTCAGCCAGCTGTCACAGCGGCCCCTGCATTCTTCTCCTGTAATCCTGAGCAGAAGCAGCTTGTCTAACCTGGGCTGACTTTCTTTCTTTTCTAAGACAGGTTGGCCTGCGTAGTCCGCTATCAGTCCTAGCCAAGCTCACCAGTCGCCCAGGAAAATGCCTGCTAATGACATCAACTGCATTGTGCTGGGAACACTCGAGGGCAGGGGCAGGTCCAGGCTCAGACCCCAACACACACAGGGACCGGGATTAGATTGGTAGTCACCTTGAAGCTTGGACCCCTGGATGGAGAAGTTGCAGGTGTTGGGAAGCCTCTCCACCCCTGGAAATCGGCTGTTTAGGTGGATTCTCTTACCAAATTCAGCCTAAAAACCAAACCACACACACACCATGAAATGGTCAGTGATTCCTTCAGAGCCACCCTCTCCCAGCAACTGTTTGATATCTAGACTTCTTTGGAAACAGAATCTCAGCATGTGTTTATTTTGTTATACTAGCTATTGGGACAGACAGGTTATGGATCCCAAAGCTAGAACAAGTGAACATACTAAACATACCCACTCTTCACACACAACCATGTGTCTACAAGAAAGATACACTCCTGCTTGGTCCCGGTCCCTCTCTGGGGTGTCTGATGCCAACTAACTTCCAGCACCCAGTTCTGCCCCTTCTTTTTCCAGGACCTACTGTTTCTCTGGGTTCCCCCAGAGTTTCCTTCGCAGGGAGATAGTGGCTGGTCCCAGCTATGCCACTGGCACTCTCCCACATGAGCAGGTCCCGCTCACCTCCAGTCTCTCCTCCAGGTAATCCCGGATGTCTCTCATGTGGGCCTCATAAGCCTCACAGTTTTCACTCACGAGCTCAGCAGCCTGGGGACACAGAGATGTGTGAGAGTCAAGGGACCAGACAGCTGCAGAGAACCTTTCCTGACCGCTCCTGTGCCTCTGCAGCTGCCAAGCTGCCCCAGGTGCTCAGCAGGGTCACCAGGTGCTCCGACTGGCTCCAGGTGTCACAGGCAACACAGCAAATAAGCCCTGCGGGAATCTCAGGCCCTAAGGACTGTCATTCCATAGAGGGACAAAACTTGGACACCACACAGGTCCCCGATGAGATAGTCACCAAAGAATAGGTAGGGTGTTTCTACCTGCAGGGAAGACAGTGGGTCTCTTGGATAGCTGCCTACTTTGGTGAAGGTGATGCCCGCAGGCCCCGGCAAGGCAGGAGAAGAATGGAAGTGCCTGGTGTAAATGTAATTAAATCTATTAAGGGACTGAGACGACATGCTGTAACATGTTAGGATCATGCTAACTGCTATACAAGAGGCCCACAGAAATCATGGCAGCTGCCCAACAAAGGACAAGAACCACCTCGTCTAGTGCTGTGGGCCATGAAAACAGACAAGAGACACTTTGGCACTAGAGGAGGAGACGGTCACAGCTGCTGCCTCAGATGCATGGAAGAGGAGCAGGTGCCCCAGGAGGTCTCCCGGCCTTGAGAGCAAGGACCTGGAAAGTGGGAGGCACGCCAGAGAAAGCAGAGGGACCTGGACAGTTTGGGATGATGAGAATGATGGTTATTTTTCAATATCAACTAGACGGGCATTAGAATTACTATGGCAACAGACTGCGGGCATGCCGGTGAGGGTATTTCCAGCAAGGTTTAACTTCGGAGGGAAGACCAACCCAGAATGTAGGCAGTACCACCCCATGGGTCCCGGACTAAATCAAAAGAAGAAAGTGAGCTGATGACCAGTGCCTCTGTTTCTCTGTCTGTCTGTCTGTCCCTCTTGTGGGTACAATGTGACCACCCTTGCACAGCCCAGTTTCTGAGAGTTAGCAGAGCTCAGGCTCCAGAGGAGACAGGCCAACAGTCCCACACCTGACCCGGGCGCCTCACACCTCACACCCCACAGTTCAACAGTGGACCAGCCAGGGTGCTATCTCTCCTTCTGGAAGAGACTCGGAGTTTTTCCTTTAAAAGCTATTCTCTTTGTGTGTGTGTGTGTGTGTGTGTGTGTGTGCATTTGCATATGACATAGCGCATGTGGAGGTCAGAGGACTAAAGGGCTTCAGGGAGCAAACTTAGGCCATCAGTCTGGGGGCCTTTACCACAGAGCCGGCTCACTGGCCTAGTTTTTTCCCTTTTAACTGCTAAGCAGGAGCAATCCACCCTACCGCAAAGAACAAAGTTCCCTGGAACTCCCAGTCCTCTGCCCCCACCTCCCAAGGGCTCGGACTTGTAGTACACCACTTCTGGCTCTAGTTCTCCGGCTCCACACAGGAAACTCTGGGCTTTCATTAATCAGTGCACTCCTGGGGTCATGACACCCGGCCAAGCCCACCGGCCTTACCTTCCCGAGGCCAGCTATCATTGGTGTGTTCTCGGTCCTGCAGGGGACAAGGTGTGACATCAGTGAATGTCCTCGGCTACGTGCCGTTGTTCTAAAGTGCCTCACATTGTCATTCCTAGAAAAAGGCCTCCAGGTGCTCAGGAGCAGCCTTGGACCACAGTGTGCGAGTGCACACACACACAGCCTGGACAGCAATGGTCCTGTGCAAGCACCACATGCTGGCTCTCCACAGTGACAATTCCACCCGGACCCTTTCCAGCCCTGAGAGTAAGGAAAAACCAATGTTAACGTTTTAACTTTTGTTTTGTTTTGTTTTTCAAGACAGGGTTTCGGGGCAGCTTTGGAGCCCGTCCTGGAACTAGCTCTTATAGGCCAGACTGGCCTCAAACTCACAGAGATCTGCCTGACTCTACCTCTCGACTGCTGGGATTAAAGGCATGCGCCCCCACTGCCCAGCTCTAAGTGTGCTTTAAAGCTGCTGTCTGCTGGTTGTTGATCACCAGAGGACACTGTTGCATCCTGACCAGTATTCCATGTCACTTTTTATCCTAGCCACTCTGGCAGGCAAGGGACACAGGAGCTTCTCAAAGGGTTTTAATTTGCATTTCTCACATCTGATACTTTGTTGCATACCTAGAAGCTGCCTAACCTCTTGGGGAGGTTGCCCATTATGTCTTTGGCTCATTTTCTGATTGTCTTTTGAGTTTGGGGAGTTCTTTATTCTTGTCAACTTGATTGCGATCTAGAATTATCTGGGCAGACAATCTTAATGAGGAATTAAGCAGAGCAGCTTGGCCTGTGGGCATGGGAGGTATTGTCTTCATTATGCTAATTGATGTGGGAAAACTCAGTCCACTGTGGGGGGCACCATTCCCTGAATTTGGGTCCTGGATTGTCTAAGAGTGGAGGTGGTGGAGCATGCCTGTAATCCCCGCACTCAGGAGGCAGAGGCAGGTGAATCTCCGTGAATTAGAGACCAGCTTGGTCTACAGAGCAAGTTTCAGGAGAGGAGAGTCAGAACTGTTACACAGAGAAACCCTGTCAGAGAGAGAGAGAGAGAGAGAGAGAGAGAGAGAGAGAGAGAGAGAGAGAGAGAGAGAGAGAGGGAGGAGTGGAGAAAGCTCTCCAAGCACTGAGTATGCATGCATTCCTCGCTTCTTCCTTTCTGCTCCCAACTGTGGGTATGCTGTTATGAGCTGTGTTCTACCATTGAGTATTCTACCAATGCCAGTGTTCTACCATTGAACTATACTTCCAGATTCTCATGTTTTCTGTAAACTCTGCTTTTGTGAGGTACTGCACACTTTTTAGGTTTTAATTTGGGAATATACCTATTCATCTCCTTGTAAAGTTTTTTTCCCCAGAGGCTGTGGATATTGACTATATGTATTATATTACTATATTATATTGTGCTGGTTAGTCTTATGTCAAGTGACATACACACACACTAGAGTTATCTGAGAGGAGGGAACCTCAATTGAGAAGATGCCTCCATAAGATCCAGCTATAAGGCATCTTCTTAATTAGTGATTGATGGGGGAGGGCCTAGACCATTGTGGGTGATAACCAGGTTGGTGGTCCTGGGTTCTAAAGCAGTCTGAGCAAACCATGGGGAGCAAACCATGGGGAGCAAACCAGTAAGCAGCGCCCCTCCATGGCCTCTGCATCAGCTCCTGCCTTTAGGCTCCTGCCTTGCTTCAGTTCCTGTCCTGACTTCCTTCAGTGAAGGACTATGATGTTGAAGTGTTAGCCAAATGAACCCTTTCCTCCCGGCTCGCTTTTGGTCATGGTATTTTGCCGCATCAGTAGTAACCCTGACTAAGACACATATATGACTATGTGTTAATAAACTTTTCAGACTATTGGTTTTATCCTTTTACCAGCTAAGCGAGACATCGAGTCAGGCATGGTGAATATGCCCTGTAGACCCTGAGAGGCTGGGGCAGGAGGGTCAGAAGTTCAAGGCTAGCTTGAGCCACATTAGACCTGTCTAAAAATGACAAACAAATATAGGAATATCCCTTTTTCTATAGCTTTGCCTTTATGCAATCATTTTAAATGCTTTCTTTACATACATTGGTAACCATATCAGACAGTGTTCTAATCTTTCACAAACTATCAACTATCTTTTTAAGCTTCAGAGAAGCCCAAGAGGAGAAGGGCTGCCTGCTGTACTTGGCCTCAGCTTCCCTCAGTTTCTCCTCATCTGGCAACACCTTGATCTCCTCTTTAGATGTAAAGACCTGTTCCCCAGGTGTGGGATTCTAATTTCTCTCAGCTATGTGCACAACCCTCCTCTGGTCTCTACCCCTTCAGATGTAAAAGCCATGTCATTCCAAGTGTTTTCCCCTTGTCCATCAGATGCTGTCTTTTTGTTTGCTTTCAAGACTCCCATTATTCCACCGGCATACATTTCTTTATTTATTTGATTTTTTTTTGCTTGTTTGTTTTGTGCCCCTCTCTTTCTGAATCTCTGCTTATGTCTCTTCCTAAATTTGAGAGACTGGTCACCCACTATTATTATTATTTTGGGGTTCTCTCTCTCTTTTTTTTTTTCCCAAGACAGGGTCTCAGCCTGTATTTCTGGCTGTCCTGGAACTCACTATGTAGAGCAGGCTGGCCTCAGACTCACAAAGATCCACCTGCCTCAGCTTCCTGAATGCTGGGCTTAAAGGCGTGCGCCACCAGGGCTGGCCGTTTTCTCAGGTGACCCTTTAAGGCCTGTCCCCTGTCTTCTCTGTGGGGAGTTGACCGACGCGTGTGTCACACCGTTTTTGATGGCTTCAGAGGTCCTTGACGCTCTGTCTTTTTCCTGGTGTCTCCTGTCTATTATTCCCCCTTTCAGTGCAGGTTCCTTTCCTTTTTCTCACTTTCCCGTTGGTGAGTCTGCCCACATATCTACGCGGGTTACTGCAGTTTCTAGATGCGGAAGGTCCGCTTGGATCCTCAGAAGGCAACTTCCATCTGGTTCGCGCATTCCAAGTGTGCCCAAGATTCACTGCATCTCATAGTTTTCTTGGGGTTGAGATCCATTGATGTTTTCTTCCCTTAAATTTAAGATCTTTCTAGTCCTTGGCATGAAACCTGGCCATTTTCACACGTCATGAGAGTTTGCATCTTGGTTAACCTTTCTGCTCTTCCTGGCTTGCTCTGACTCTGCTCTGCAGGGAAAGAGTGTGTATCCCAAACATTGCCCGTGGGATGGAGAAACCACAGCTCTCCCTTGGGCTGTGCTCACTTGATATCTAAAGAGGATGTGTTCTGTTACTGATGGGTGGAGACTCCAGGGTCTCTTTAGAGTCTCTACTGACACCACCGTGGGCTGTGGATGTCCATGTGGGTGGAAGCCTGAGTGTCCGTTTGGTGATGGCTGGTGTGGGACAGCACACTGTCCTACACGGATGGGCTAGAGCAGATAATGCCTAGTGTTTCTTCTTGCAGGCTGGCTAGCTGCAGGCTTTAGATCAAGGCAGCTCTTGCCTTCCCTTACCACTGTTTCTAGGCTGGTTCTGGGTATGGAACACTTGCCAAGGAGCCGCCATGGCATTGTTTCTGTCTCCCCGTCTTCTTAGACGTTCTAACAAAGGTGGTATTGGCACGGATTTGGGGTTAAAACACCAAGTATGCAATGGAGACCTGGGGTTCTCATAAAGGAAAACGGCCCCTTTTGTACCTACTGAGCCCCTACTTTAAAGAAGAACAGAGCGCCGCAGCATGCAGGGAATCCAACACCCTGAAGTAGTTATGAGAGAGAACTCCTATCACGTGCTCCGAGTCACCCCAAGATACTGCAGGACTGAGACCCGCTGTAGAAATCAGTCAGTAGCAATTCTGATTGGGGGTGACAGAAACGGCGAAGAGACGGGACATAGTGTGGCCAGCCGGGCAGAAGCTTGTAGGCTTTCAACCTTACCCTGGCCTGAAATTCCGCTCTTGTCCACCTCCAAACAGCATGGGGTACAGGGGGGTAAGTTTACCGACCCCTCGTACATACAGAGCACCAATCCTGGGACCGTAGAACTGGAAGGGAAAGCCAGTCATTTACTCAGTGGCAACTGCTTGGTGACCTGTTCCGCTTGTGTCTGAGTGTCAGAGGTTCAGCAGTGGTGTTTGGGGGAGCGCCATCCTGCTGGTTCCTTGTGGCCTGTCTGTCTGTCTGTCTGTCACCACTGTGGTATATCAGAGTCACAGGAACCCCCAGGTGCAGGACAGAGCCCCAGCCTGAGGAAGGGTAGGTGCTGGACTCATGTTCCGGTATAATGGTATAACAGGATTGTGAAGGGAAGGGGCTAGAACAAGAGGTGGCCAAGGGCTTTTCCTACACATGACTCTATGCCCCCCAGTGATATGAGGCAAAGGGTTAAGGGTCATGGTGTCAGGCCAGTTTGTGTGTGCCTTTAGGGACCAGCTAAGGACTATGCTGCCAGAAAGCCAAGGTCTTTGCTATGACCTTGTCCCTGTACTGCGCCTTCAGGAACCACTAAGACCAAACCTTCCTGCTGAGAAGCCATAGTTTAACCAAGTCACAGTTTAACCAAGGAAGTCACAGTTTCCTGGACCCACCTCTTCCACGCTGGTGGGGACCTCTACATGGGCAGATGAGGCCCCTGCAACCAACACTCTTTGTGTACCAAACCCACTGCCATTCAACCCTCCACAGAGCCCGCTATGTCCTCCCTTGGCCCCTTCTGGTTGAGGTCCTGGCTTGCCAGGCATCATCCTGGCTGTTACTGGTCCTGTCCCACACATGCACTGAAAGTTCTGAGGACAAAGCCCTTCCTGAGTGGCTGTCATGGCTTCTCATCACCTGGTCCTTGACAGGCACCTGGAGCTCACTAGGTGACGACAGTGACTTAAGCAGGAAGGGATAGCGGGGCTGAGGGTTCCACTCTGCTGTGCCGAGGAGGAGGGCAGGCGGCCCCTGCACACATACCTTGTGCCCCACGATAGTCAGGAAGTCCACACCCAGGTCCTCCACATCCACTCGCCTCTTCCCCAGTGCCTGGGCAGCATCTGTGTGCACGAGGACTCGGGGCAGGCCCGAGGCAACCCGGCTCTGGTTCAGGGCCTTAATACGTCGGCTGATCTCAGGGACAGGCTGGAGCGGGAGGAGGCAAGCAGCTGAATGAGTGTGCGGTTTGGATTTGATGGGGACGGAATGAATGACATGAGGTGAGCGGCAGGAGACAGAGCAAAGTCGCAGAACTCAAGGACACGAAAAGAACAGGCCGAGTGGAGGTGCAGGGAAATCCCAAGCCAAGCACCTGCTCCCCCGAGGTCTCCTTGCAAAGGAAAGGGCTGACTCACCATGATGACGCCAGTCTCATTGTTAGCCAGCATGATGGTCACGAGGCATGTGGTGGGGCGGACAGCCGTCAGGACGTCCTCAACCTCTGCCTGCCCGCTCACCTTCGACACTGGGACAAAAGTGACCTCTGAGATACAAAACACATACCCTAAGGTTAGCCAGGCAAATAACTCCATAATTACATTTCTTAAAAAAGGAATGTGCTATCCAAGTTCAGAAAATATTAGAAGAGAAATTTAAGGTGCTGCCAATGAGAAACGCAGGTCTCAGGCTGTCCTCACAACTGCGGGGCTCGGGTGGTGAGTAGCTGCAGGAGGCCGACAGCGCCATGGCAACAGGCAAAATCTTCAGAGGTGCGTTAGCAGACACGCCCAGGCAGAGAGAGCAAGGAGTGGACTTTCCAGGGACAAATGACGAAAGTTTCACAGAATTGGAAAAGACTCCAGCCAAAGGCTGCCTACAGTTGGTGGAGTCTAATAGCGGCTGTCCCATCAGCAGACAGTCTCTCTCTCTCTCTCTCTCTCTCTCTCTCTCTCTTTTGGTTTTTCGAGACCGAATTTCTTTGTAGCTTTGGAGCCTGTCCTGGAACTAGCTCTTGTAGACCAGGCTGGCCTTGAATTCACAGAGATCTGCCTGCCTCTGCCTCCCAAGTGCTGGAATTAAAGGCATGCGCCACCACCGCCTGGCCAGACAGACACTCTTTAGAGGAACCTGGACAAGGACGGTCAGGCTGAGCAAGCCCTTTATAACCCCTGGTTCTTAGGGCAGATTTCTGCATTGCCATAACTGTGTAGAAGAGATAACATCAACCATGCTCCCCTTCAAAAAAAAAAAAAAACAAAGGAAAAGAAAAAGTAAGAAAGAACAAACAAACAAGTGTATGAGAAAGAGAAAAGACATGCCTTTATTCCCAGTACTAGAGAGGCAGAGACAGGTGGATCTCCACCCATGAGTTCAAGGCCAGCCTGGTCTACAGAGCTAATTCCAGGACAGCTAAGGCTATGCAGAGAAACCATGTATCAAAAAACCAAAAAGAGAAAAGAAAGAAAAGGCAAGCCCTCTTCAATATGTCCTGTTCTTCCATGAGACACATTCATTAAATTTCCTTCAGCAGAAATTTGTAGGAAAATTCACTCATATTTTGGGAAACTATTTAAAAGAACACTAACACCAGAAAAGCCAATTCCTATAAACTAGTGTGGTAAAAAGATGGACGGACAGCAGGCAGCAGGCAGCAGGCAGCAGGCAGCAGGCCAGCACTCATGGGCCAGATACAGTCAGACATCAGACGAAACCCAGCAAAGGAATCCATCTGAAGGTGATTCCCAGAGGCTGGAGCTGCCTCCTCGTTCTAGTCCCATCTGGGACAGCTGATGGGTGCTCCCAAAGGACATTCCTGGCTTGAGGGCTTGGAGAGAATCACCATATCATGCTGTGGTGCCCTTGCCCTCTGTGAACCAAAGTTGGGAATACCCAGGCCAGTTTCCATTACACTAGAGGGACACACAGATGGGTCCTGTGAGATGTCTGGGTGGGCCTTATGACTGTCTCTAATCACGGTCACCACCCATTTCTGAGCAATTTATCATATTCAAGGACACAAAGATTGGAAGCAAGGAGTTAACTAAAGCTATATCAAATCATTCTATTACAGGTTATTAGTATGTAGACCGTACTATCGCACATAAAATAAAGTTTTCAAAACAGGAAACAAAATGTCAATCTCATACAAAGAAATGAATTCCTCCTAGCTCACTGTGCACCACAGACTTAATTAATTGTAAAAACCAAAGCTGAAAACCTCCTAACAGGACTAAATCTTCATGATCTGGGGCAGGTTGAAGCCTTCTTAGATATGACTCAGAGACAAAACAAAATGAAAGCAAAACAATTTGACTTCATCAAAACTGCTGATTTGTGTCAAATGTATGCATAATTCCCATAAGTCAATAAAAAGATAGGCACTCCAATAAAAATTAGGGCAAGGGGACAAAGGCACCGTTAGGGCGGAACTGGCGTGCTATCAATCTCCAGTAAACACTAAACACCAAAAGGAAAACCCAAAACAAGCGAGAACACACGTAGACATTCCTACAGAAGAGATCTATACAGACAGCCAAGACAACATGAGAAGATGCTAGGCGCCAAAACCCCACAGAGGCACAGTCCATGACGACAATGACAGAGGAGACAGACAGAAGCTCTGACAGGGACGAGAGACTGCCAGTGGTGCTGTCAGATGGTGACACTGGAAAGCAAAGGTTAAGGCTGATCACGTCTACCCGAGAATCTGTCAAACCCTGTTTCTGTATGGCCCAGTAATTCTGCCCCTAGGTGTAAGCCCCTAAACAGGAACCGCCCACACTCCCACTCCCACAGAGCAGCTCAGGGCAGCGTTATTCACATTGGCTGCAAGCAAACGGCCATCAGCTTCTGAATGGGCTGATCAAATGTGGTGCACACCCAGATCAGAATACTTCTCATCATTAGGAGGAGTGAGCCAGGCTCTGTGCGGCCTCTCTGTCCCCGTCACTGAGGACTAGGCCAGTCCCCATGGCCACTCACCTGCCACCTGCTCTTCCATTAGGTGCTCCAGGGGCAGTCGGATAGAGTCGTGTTCCACCGTGCAAGTAATAAAATGGGGCCTGGCCCCCTCTTCAGGACTGTGTTGGTCAATTACGTGCCCCTTCAGGGTCTGCTGGTCATGGAAGTATCTCACCATAGATTGGATTACTAAATTATTCGACTGTGGAGACACAACAGAGAGAGAGCGCGCCTTCACCAGAGCTCCCAATGGAGGCGAGAGCAGAGAGAGGCTTCACCAAAGTGGAGATGGTGAGCCCCTCACCTGTTACTCTTTTGTGCCTGACTTAAAAGGAAAAAGCCAGAGCACCAACCTCCTGACAGGCCTATACCTTCAGAGAGTCTCCAAACTCCAAATACCCTAGGGCTCACTTCAAGTGTGCCTGTTTTTTTAGTAAGCACAAACCTTGATCTTAGATAAACCTGTCAGGAAGGGGAATTCCCCGCCTGGAGGGAGGAAGACAAACTGGGGAACACACTTGCACAAACAGAAACAAGATGAAAATTAAAAAAGTAAAAATCGAAAGTCAAATTAAAATTAAAATATACCCCTGCCTTCCGAGCTCACGGCATTGCACAGTACCTGGCCCCAAATCAAGGCCCAGAGACCCCGCTGGGCAGCAGGGCAGGGAGGGGTGGCAGTGACCTGCAGGGAATCCAGGGGCCTAACGGCACACTCAGCGTCCCTATGACTTTCTTTTCTCAACCACCACCTGTCCAGTTCTGGGGTACATTAGCCCAGTGATTAGCATTTAGGGGGTATAGCTCTGGAAGAGGCTTGGGCTCCCCAGATTTGGGCTAAGCTACCAAAAATGCTTTCTGAGCCGGGCACTGGTGGCACACGCCTTTAATCCCAGCACTCGGGAGGCAGAGGCAGGCGGATCCCTGTGAGTTTAAGGCCAGCCTGGTCTACAAGAGCTAGTTCCAGGACAAGCTCCAAAACTACAGAGAAACCCTGTCTCGAAAAACCAAAAAATCAAAAACCAACAACAACAAAAAAAATGCTTTCTGAACCAACCCATGTACACTGCCTCAGTTTCCCAAGTTGTTAACCTTTGTGTGGAATGGCAGTCTAACAAGGCATGATCTCAGTGGGTGAATGTCTCACAGTAATTTCCAACTTCCACTCGAGATGGCAGCATGCTCTGGGAACATGGCACAGTGGCCCCTGGTGTGAGCTGGCTGCTGGAGGCTGAAGTCTGGGCACAGTGGCCCCAGGTGTGAGCTGGCTGCTAGTTGCAGGAGCGTTCTGCTGTCCACACTTCTGCACTGGCCACTTGAACCCCCAAATGGCTGTCAAGACAAAGTCGTAGGCTTCTCCTGTGCTGTGTGTGTTCAAACCTCTGACTCATTTGCTGACTGTATTATCTGCCTGTGAGTAAATTGTGCGAGTCCCCAACTGTCCCAGGCGCTTGTCACTCATCAGCTCTGGGTGATAAACACCTTTCCCCTGCTACCCCTTCTCTTTCCTCACAGTGTTCTTGGATGATTCAAAGTTCGTTTGTGACTTTTGTTGTGACGGAATTCACTGTTTTTTCTGTTTAGTTTGGCTCAGGGTCGTGATCTTCCTGCCTTGGCTCCCCAAGCATCTGCGCTGAGAAACCCTGCACTGCCCAGGGTGGGGGGCAGCAGCTGGAAGCTGTCTCTGCATGCTGAGAAGCAGAAGTCATCGCCTGGTCCCTGAGACTGAACAGTCCGGAAGAGTTCCCTACAGTCACGTGTTCTTCAGTCCTGCATGCTGCCCCCTCAGTCACATGACAATCTACACCCTACTATTGTGCCAACAACAGCTGTCCAAGCCTGAGCTGAGCAGGCAGGGTGTGTGGCCCTAGTCATAGGGCAAGTGCCAGTCTACGCTGGCACACTGTTTCTGACCATGTCTGTCCTTGCCGAATGCGTCTGCCTAGTTTCCAGAGCTCTTATAGACCAGGTCTGGAGACTATCCTGTCTTCCAGCAGTCTTGCTGGAAGTTTCCATAGAAGTTAGTTTGGGACAGTCCACTGATGGGTGTCAGGATTTTGAGGGAGGATGCACGGAGTCTACAGATCGCTTTAAAAAGAGCCCACGTCCTCCAGTCTGCAAGTGTGCCTGCTGTAGTGCCTCTTCCTCAGAAGGTCTGCAAGGCTGCAGGTGACATCTCTAACCTCCCTGTTTTGCTTTGTTTTGTTTTGTTTTATGGCCTGGCAGAAGCTCATTACTGGCATCAAAAACCCATTTCAGGGGGCTGGAGAGATGGCTCAGAGATTAAGAGCACTGGCTGTTCTTCCAGAGGTCCTGAGTTCAATTCCCAGCAACTATATGCTGGCTCACAACCGTCTATAGTGAGACCTGGTACCCTCTTCTGGTCTACAGGCATAAATGCAGACAGAACACTGTAAACATAAATAAATAGTCTTTATTTTAAAAAAAAAACCCAGTTCACTTTTAATCTAAAAACTGCTATGGCTGAAGCAGACTGTGACCCACAGCCAACCACTGCCCCTGCCCCTTGCAGTGGCTTCTTTCCAGGTTTCTTTCGAGTCCCTTTGGGACAGGTGAAACCTCAAACTCATCCGTACAAACAACTTAGGAAATGGCAAGAGAGTCCCAGAGCAATATGAGAGAGAAAGTCAAACACTGCTGATTCTAAAATGACAAGAGCAAACCCCTCCCATACTCCATGTCACCTTAAAGTGCTGCGAAGGGATTGCAGCTTTACCTCGGTGCCCCCGGAAGTAAAGACGATGTCCTGCGGCTTCCCCCCTATCATCTTGGCCAGGCTCGCCCGGGCTGTGTTTATAATGTCCTTGGCCTTCCTACCTTGAGGAGAGACAAAAGAACAAGTCCATTGCTATCAATTCCATGTTTAGCAGAGCGACCACACACAGGGGAGCTGAGAACTGGGGCGATTCTAGAAGGAAGCACTTCCACCTGGGTGAGTAGACTATCCTACCCCCTGGCAGGGCCTCAGCAGAGGGGCCACACTGAGACTTAGCAAGTCAGTGGCCACCACTGGGACTTAAGGAGCTCAGTGAGAGCCCAGGACAGCCCTGTTGGGAGTGATGGAGCTATGAGCTCCTCCAGGACAACTGTGCTTTCGCACTGGATGCTAGAGGCGGGACTATGGCTCGCTGCCCACCTTCCTATTCAAGATGGGACCAGGAGAGGAGCTGCGGACGTGACACACCAAGCCAGTCAGGGCCTTCTCTCACACTGCAGGCCAGTGCTGGGAGACACAGCGGGAGACTGAGGGCGTGTGCCATCAATAAGGTGTCCTAGCTGCTGCCCAGTTCCTCACCGGTGGCTCCCAAATTTGATGCCGGGTCCATGGCAGCTTCCCCATGCTGTACATCTATTTCGGCCCAAACTCCTCCCCACTTCCCCAGTTCACGTCCAGCTGCTGTTGGCTGTTACAAGTCAGGCCAGGATACCTCTGGAGCACTCACACTCTTCCCACGGAGCCTCAGTGCAAGCAAGCTCTTCGAGGTTTTAAAACTGAATGCTGCGAAACATCTTGGTAGTGGTGCACACCGTTCATCCCAGCACTCGGGGCGTGGGTGTGGTGGTGGGGGCAGGCGGATCTCTGTGAGTTCGAGGCCAGCCTGGTCTACGGAGTGAGTTCCAGGACAGCAAGAACTACACAGAGAAACCCTGGCTCGGAAACTAACAAACAAAACCCTGGGATGAATGATCTCCAGTTTTCTTTTCTTTCCCTTTTGGGCATTTCTACTCAGATGTCAACAGAAAGCAGCGGGGCCGTCACTCGCCAGGAAGAGTTTCCCAACTGCTTGCCCAGCTCCCCTGCTACCCCTGCCCCCCGTCTTCTTGAATCAGATTAGTTATCCTATCAGAAGTCTGACTATACCACAGGTGACACAGGTCCAGAAATGAGTCAACAGGTAAGTTAATGAGTGGCTAGCATCTGACTTGGGAGTCTGTGTCGCCGAGTTGCTGTTGAGCTTTTTAATAAGCATCGGTACGAAACCCACTAAAAGCCCAGAGAAGGAACACATTGTTAGTAAGACCCGGAGCTGGATCCCCTGTGTGACAGAGTCAGCTGGCGTGGGTCATCGGAAGTCCCCTAGATGGCATTCAGACTAATCAAGCACCATTAATGTGGCTCCTCTTAGTCCCCCTCATCCACAGCACAGGCAGGGCTGGGTGCAAGGCCCCTGCCATCGTCACTGATAAACATTAACCAGGAAGGCAAGGCATAGCTCCAAGTCTGTAAGATCTTGTGGAATGCTGTCCTCTCTCTACTGGCCTGAAGCAAATTATCATCCAAAAACTTCAAATCTAAAACTCTATATTACAAAAGCAAACTAGAAAGGACCAGAGTTTATACAACCCTAGAAACAAATTCAAACTTTCCTTCTCTGCCTTTACTCTTTTCACATTTATTCTACTTCATTTTGCGTGACTGTGCATGTGTTTGCGTGTGTATGTGCTGTGCATGCATGTTCTCACGTGTACAGGTGCACATGTGTGGGGGCCGGAAGTTAAGTGTCTTCCTTGGTGCTGTCTGTTTGACTTAGGGTCTCCTGCTGAACCCAGGGCAGGGTCTGGAGCCTGCAGACTCAGCTAATCTAGCTAGTGGGCGTGTCCTGTCCATGCCTCCTGAGTGCTGGGATTACAGGCAGCCTGCCACACCTGCCTGGTTTTCACACAGGTTCTGTGGATCCGAACTCAGATCTTCAGACTTGTTCAGCAGGCGCTCTATCCACTGAGAGTTCCTAAGCCCTGAAACTTTCCTTTGTGGAAAAGGTCAAGACACACATGCAGCCTTGATGGCTAAAAGCACATTAGCAAAATGCATGGGGATAGGATAGCCATGTGGAAGGGGTTTGAGAGGCACAGGCTTATAAACAGACCTCAGTGAGATATTCATGTGGGGAGTGTTTCCGGGGAACACATTAAAGCCTGAAAGGTTATAGTCCTCATGGTGACAGATACAATCAGCAAAAAATGGCTGCTCAAGGTATGTCTCATCTTGGGAAGAACGAGCCAACTCAAGCAACTTGTTCTGTGCCACCAGAATGTGCAGTATGGAATGCACACATGAATGGATGAGAGTCAAAAGCTATCAGATGTGTGGTTCACAGCCTTAATATTATACAGGGACAGCAGGCTTTAAGAATCAGATAGGGGCCAGGTGGTGGCGGCGCACGCCTTTAATCCCAGCACTTGGGAGGAAGAGGCTGGTGGATCTCTAAATTCAAGGCTAGCATGGTCTACACAGCAAGTTCCAGGACAGCCAGGACTACCCAGAGCAACCCTGTCTCAAATATTGGATAAGAAACTAAAAGAATCAGATAAGAGGGGTTGGAGGGTTCAGCTGTTAAGAACATTGGCTGCTATTCCAGAGGGCCCTGGTTCAGTTCCCAGCACCCGCATGGCAAACTACACAGTCTGTAAATCCAGTTTCAGGGCTTCTGACACCGTTACACAGACATACATGCAGATAAAACACCAATGAACATAAAAATAAAATAAATTATAAAGAAAAAAAAAGAGAGAGGTCAGCACCAGGCAGTGGTGGTGCACACATTTAATCTCAGCACTCGGGGGGCAGAGGCAGGTAGATCTTGGTGAGTTTGAGGCCAGTCTGGTCTCCAGAGAAAACCTGTCTCAGGAAAAGAAAAGAAGAAAGAAAGATAGAAAAAATAAATAAATAAATAACCAAATAAAGAAAACCAAATAAGCGAACGAGAACCAGATTAGGTATATTATTGTAACATGGTGCTGATTTACACAGAACACATTATGCAGACTTTAGTGACATTTGTATATTTAAAGATTATAATGTAATTATTTTGCTTCAGTTTTTGTTTGTTTGTTTGGTTGGTTGGTTGGTTTTTCCAGACAGGGTTTCTCTGTAGTTTTGGAGTCTATCCTGGAACTCACTCTAGAGACCAGGCTGGCCTTGAACTCACAGAGATCTGCCTGCCTCAGCCTCCTGAGTGCTGGGATTAAAGGTGTGCGGTGCGCCACCATGCCCCGGTTTTGCTTGTGTTTTAAAAGTGTGCTTTAACAAAACTCCTGGGAATTCTGTCAAGCAATGCAGGCAGCAGAATACCTGCATTTTCTATAATGTCCCTTTACACATGGGAAAATATGATCTATAAAATCGAAAGAGAAAAAGAAAGTCTAAGAGCGCTCTGGCTCCCTTTGTTGCCACGGATCCCTCTAGAATTACCTGCCACATAGGAGCTGCTGGGGTTGCCCCAGGCTTCTCTCATGGCCTCTGTCACAGCCTGGATGACTGCGGGCTCCAGAGGTGTGGTGGCGTTGTAGTCCATATAAACCTTCCTGGAAGAAAGGGAAGGGAGGCAGGGTATGGGCAGCAGCTCTCTGGGGGCTCACAGTCGGGGTCTTCTGCATCCAGAGTGAAGGCCCAGGTGGAGCATCAGGCCTCAGCTCTCCGCGTCCTCCCTCTCGATGGGAGGGAGACACCATGGTTCCCAGTCACTCAGTGCCTGGCCCAAACTAATGCACATCTCACCCCAGCACAAGGCTGGCTGGGGAGTCACACATTCCCCTGGGGGGTTCCTGATGACTCCCAGCCTTGAGCTCCAGCCATGCTCCTGGAATGGCCTCTAAGAGCCACGCCCTCTGGCTCTCTGCTCCTTCTTGTCGGTCTCCCTGGGACAGGCTTGCACTTTCTTTGCCCTGTCTAAACTTTTTCAAGTCTTTGCTTCAACTATCTGCTTGCTTGAGGCCCCGCTGTTTTGTGTGGAGCCACATGCCCCAGCTTGGCTCTCTGTTCTCCCCACTTCCCTTGCAGCCCCATTCATCATCTGACTCAAGAGTCACGTGTGCTTAGTGTCATCTCCAGGGACCGAGAGAAGAGTGGCTCCAGGAACAAGCAGGCTTTGTCATCAGAACCCTAACGAGGCTGCCACACAGCAGGGGCTTCATTCCTAGGACTACGCAGAGTGCTGAGCCCCAGAGACTCTAAGGAGAGCTATCTGCTTGTGTTCTTACCAGGATCATGCCTGAAAACAGTAATTATTTCACATGATTTAGAAATCTAAACAGGCTCACGCTAAAGCACTCAATTGTGAACCCAAACACAACTAAGCCAAAGGGGACAACAGAATAGGTTCTTTTGATCCCTCTGTCTTTGCTTTAAGTCTAACCCTGCAGGGCTAGGGGCCTTGGAAAGTGAGGCTGACCTCCCTGGGGCTGGGATCAGTGAACTTTCCATTGCTGCAAGGGCTTTGCCTGTGCCCCAAGCCTGTTCTTTCTGTAAGTAAAGACCCCAAAGCGCTGCACACCCACTGGTCTGCCGAGAGACTGTGGCTTTCCCATCTGTAGCGTGGCTGAGCTATTTTCATAGCTGGCATTTCATCAGTGAGGCTGCTTCCTGGAGAAAGTGAAACTACTTAATGAATGTCTAGTGAGGGCTGAAGCCACGCGTAGGCCTTTATGAGCCAGGTTCTCACTGAGCAATCCAGGCTGGCCTCCAAATCACAATCCTCCTGTCTCAGTCCCCAGTGCTGGGATTATAGGCGTGTTCCAACACTTCCAGGGAGGCTCAAGTTTTGGAAGAGAGACAGATAGTTTACATCCTCGGCACCGGCACAGAAGATGGGAACAAAAATAGAGAGGGCAAGCCTGTAATCCCAGCGGGAGGAGGCAGGAGAGCCGGGCTACGGCACAAGGCCCTTGTCAGGAGTAGGGAAAGGATAAAGAAAAAGAGGAAGAGGGGCTGGAGAGACCGCTCAGAGGTTAAGAGCACTGCCTGTTACTTTCAGAGGTACAGAGTTCAATTCCCAGCCCCCACAGGGTGGCTTACAAACCATCTATAATGAGATCTGATGCCTTCTGGCCTGCAGGCATGCATGAAGATAGAACACTGTATACATAATAAATAAACAAATAAATCTTAAAAAAAAAGAAAGAAAAGAAAAAGAGATGGGGGTGAGAGTGAAAGAGGGGGTAGGGTCCGTTCCTGGGTTGGGGAAGACTGAACCAGAACCTACACAGCACCCTGCTCCTTTGTGCCCCAGGGGAGGAGGTCTCCGCAGCACTGTGGACAGCAAGCACCTGCAGTCTCCAGCACCGGCCAGCTGCCTCCTGGGCTCACACCTCAAGATTCACTTTTCACCTCGGGCAGTCATCTGGGCCTTAATAGATTGTCCCCAAAGTCCTTCTCTGTCCCACACCCACACTACCCTACTCCTTAAGCAGCAGCGATTCCTTTAAAATGCAGATTATTATGATTCGGCTGCCCACTCCAGCCTCCAAGACCCCATGCTGTGGGAAGGACGCCGGAACCCGGGAGGGCAGAGCGAGAACTCTGGCACAACTGTCACCCGCAGGTGCCCTTCTCTCAGCTTCGGCGGTGGCTCCTGTGGGTCGTGTGGCCCGACTCGTCTGCGTATCCCTCGGATTCCTACCCATCGGCCTCACCAGACTCTCACTGCGGTCCCCCGGGTGTCTCCAGGCTCCTAGTTCCTGGAGGGAAGAACGCACCTGTCCGGTGGGCTCTCCGCGCGACCCCGCGCGCTTTTCCGCACCGAATCCATCCCTTGATCGCCAGCCTGTCCGGTCACCACGACCAGTCACTCCAAGCATGAGCGGCCCCAAGTCTCCGCAGGGGGCGGAGCCTCGAGGCCCATGGTATCAGCATTGGCTGCGCGCCTCGCTCCGGCCAATCCGCGAGCCGCACGGGGCCTCCGCCCCTGAGTGACTGATTGGCTGTGTTGGGCCAGGTGGCCGTGAGGCGGAGCTGGGGACAGTTGTGTGGCCGCTCCGCAGTCAGATCTTCTAACCGGCCTCCACGAAGCGCGCGGTACTCGGGATGTGGGATTCGGATAGGCTGCTACTGGCCTGGTACTGTGTCTCGGGAGCCCACCTTCCCTAAGCTGTTAGCCAATGATAGGAGAACCTGTAGCTTCAACTGTCGCCGCAAAATTGGTGGAACAAAAGGCGCAAGGATGCGCGGAGCAAAGAGAGGCGCCACAGGAGCCGAGACTGTGCTCCTAGAAGGGTTGGCGGCCAGTGCATGTAGACCTAAGTGCTCGCTAGACTTCGGATTCCCCAGGACCGCCTGCCCAGGTGATTTGATTGAGTGAAATTAAAAAGCCATTAGCTAAGCAGGGGTTGGGGTGGGGGTGTTAACATTCTGGAAGGAGATTAAGGCAAGGAACCAGGTTGAGTTCCCAAACCCACACGACAGTTCACAACGATCTATATAATTCCAATTCCAGAGGATCTGATCCTCTTTTGACGCTTACAGCCACTGGTGAACTTGCATACATGTAGACAAAACACTCATAAAATTTTTATACATTTTTACTGACATTTATTGAGCTCTACATTTTTCTCTGATCCCCTCCCTGCCTCTCCCCTCCTCCTTTAATCCTCCCCCAAGGTCCCCATGCTCCCAATTTACTCAGGAGATCTTGTCTTCTTCTACCTTCTACTTCCCATGTAGATGATATCTATGTAAGTCTCTTTTAGTGTCCGCATTGTTGTCTAAATTCTCTGGGATTGTGGTTTGTAGGCTGGCTTTCTTTGCTTTATGTTTAAAAACCACCTATGAGTGAGTTCATGTGATAATTGTCTTTCTGGGTCTGGATTACTTAACTCAAAATAATGTTTTCTAGCTCTATTCATTTTCCTGAAAAATTCAAGATGTCGTTTTTTTTTCTTCTGCTGTGTAGTACTCCATTGTGTAAATATACCACATTTTCCTTATCCATTCTTCAGTCTGGGGGCATTTAGGTTGTTTCCAGGTTCTGGCTATGGCAAACAATGCTTCTATGAACATAGTTGAGCACATGTCCTTGTGACACGATTGAGCATCCTTTGGATATGTACCCAAAAAGGGTATTATTGGGTCTTGAGGAAGGTCGTTTCCTAATTTTTTGAGAAATCACCACACTGGTTGTACCAGCTTGCATTCCCACCAGCAATGCAGGAGTGTTCCCTTTTCCCCACAACCTCTCCAGCATAAGTTGTCATCAGTGTTTTTGATTTTGGCCATTCTTACAGGTATAAGATGGAATCTCAGAGTTGTTTTGATTTGCATTTCTCTGATGAAAAAGGATGCTGAACATTTCCTTAAGTGTCTTTCGGCCATTTTTTTCTTGGTGCTTTGTATACTAGTCAGTCATGTGTTTTCCTACACAGGGAAAGCACCACTGTCCTTCCTGAACTCTGATTCAAACCATGTACACAGACTCATCACGGGGATGGGAGATTTGTTAAGGAATGGCACATTCCTTTGGGAAGGTAAGCTTCAAAGAACACCCACCGTGTTCTGTCCACTGTGGTGACTCTAAAAGCGGGCGGCACATCTCTAACAATATGGTGGTGTGGGCTAGTCTAGTGAGAGATGCCACACGTCTGCTCTCACTGAAGTCTGTGGGATCTCAGGGTGGCCAAAGCCGTTGCCTCTCCTTTTTTCTTTTGCCAGTTTTGTTACAGTCATGGAGAATGGTCTCAGAAGTGTTTTGCCAATGAATGATGTTGAGCATCCTTTGAGGTGTGTACTGGCATCAGCCAGATGTGGTAGCATGCAACTGTAGCTGTAGTCACATCTGCTGGGGCTGTCAGTGTATTTTCCTGTGCAGCTTTAAGTGGCTGCGATGGGTATTATGACACACACATGTGAATTAAGTTCACTAGTACCAATGTTAAAAACATTTATTTTTAAATTACATGTGTATGTACACGAGTACAGTTGTCCATGGATTCCAGAGAAGGGCTTTGCGTCCCCTGAAGCTGGAGTTACATGTGCTTGCGAATTACCCACAAATGTTAGGAACTGAACTTGGGTCTTCCAGAAAAGCACTTCATGTCCTTAGCTACAGACTCATCTCTTTCCAGTTACCTAGCATCGTTTTACCATTTTTGATGAATGGAGGGAATCTTACCTGATTTAGTTTCTTTCCCTTTTGGGGGGCACAGGGGATGGGAGTACTAGAGATAATCCCAGGACCTCACACATGCTAGGTTAAGTGCTACACCCCACCCCCTGTTTTTAATTAAAATTTAACAATACTTGAGTATTTGCAAGTATTGATAGTATTACAGTGTTTACAGTTTCTGTCCTCTCTGATGACTCCTGTTCCTCACCCGCTGACTTTGAGCATCACTATGCTTGAGCATCAGATAGGTAATTTCTATTTAACCACCATCTATGACTTCTAAAGGCCCCATCATTCCATTTTAGAAGAACTTTGGTTTTCCTTAATTTTTGAGTCTCATTATGTAGCCCTGGCTGGCCTTGGATTTGCACCTGCCTGTCTTCTAAGTGCTAGGATTAAAGGCATGCCCCACTGCACCCATATTGAAGGTTTGAGTCAACCTTTACAAATAAGGCAGTGATTCTTTGTTCTACAGCATTTGAAGACTCAAGCTGACTTTTCACTGTTTCCAGGAACCAGGTTTTCTCCACATGCTCCTTTCAGCATTTAATATCATGCATCTTCCTTCCGGCCTGTATGGTTTCTGAAACCAGCCGTCATTCAAATTGGTGTGCTCTATAGGCAATGTCCATCTGCTCTTAGGCTTTACAGTATATTGTTACAAGTTTATTGTGACCAGGGAGTGGAACGTGGTAGTCTGGATGTAACTGACTGGCCCCATAATCTCATTAGGAGTGGCACTATTAGGAGGTATATGGCTTTATTGGCATGGGTATGGATGGCCTTGTTGGAGGAAGTGTGTCACTGCTGGGTGGGCCTTTGAGGTTTCTTATGTTCAGGATACTGTCAAGTGTATCAGTCAACTTCCTGTTGGCTCTCAGCTACTCCAGCACATCAACCTACATGGCACAACACTTCCTGTCGTGATGATAATGAAAAGTGTGAGCCACCACTCCAATTAAATGTTTTCTTAAATGGTCATGGGGTCGCTTTACAGCAACAAAAACCTTACTATGACAGCAGTTGGTACCAGGAGTCAGGTATTGCTGTGATAGGCCTGACCATGTGTTTGTTTGGAGGAATTTGGACTTTGGGTTATGAAAGAAGTGGAATGCTTTAAGCACTTTTACATGGGGCATATTAGGAGAAACATGGAAGCAGATGTGCTAAGAGTTATTTGAACTGCCAGGGACTCACTGAAGAGGTTTCAGGGAATTTTAGTATATTGCCTAGAGATCGTTCCTGTGATATTTTGGTGAAGAATCTGCTTGAGGCTAAACTGAAAAGTTCTCACTTAATTCCCTTGGCAGAAGATATCTTCAAACAGCCTAGTATAGACTCTGCTGTGTGGATATTAATGGTAACTCTAATGAAGATTTATAATGAAAAGGAGGAAGCTAAGCAGGGAGCACCAGGAAGTGAAATGGAGTCAAATCCCGTGTTCAAGAAGATAAATGGATTAAGAAATGGAATAGAGAGGTGATTTCAGGGCAATATCCCGGAAGCTAAATTTTCAAGTTCTGGAAAGGATCTAAAGAAAAGCTTAGAGCCAGGCGTGATGGAGCAACACCTTTAATCCCAGCACTGGGAAGGCAGAGGCTGGTGGATCTCTAAATTTGAGGCCAGCCTGGTCTACAGAGCAGTTTCAGGACAGTCAAGCTTAGCTAGTGAAAGACAGAAAGCTGGTGAAGATGTAATTGAATGAGGAGGCCATGTCCCAGCCCTAGCAAGCAGCAGAACTTAGCATCTTGGGCCATGTAGTTCTGGCTTTAGAGTTAAGAACAGAAGAAACATGTTATGGGATTTGCTTCTACACCTAAAGAAAGCCACTGAGGCCAAGCATGTGTCAGGGGTGTCCCTGAATGAAGGCCTACTAGAGAGGCCATTGTGTGAAGCTGTGAAGTTGAAGTCTGAATTGCCTTGGAGAACAAAAGTCGTTAGAGAAGACAGATTTATGGATACCTGCCAAGGAGAGCCGCTAATGGAGTGGGGGCCAGTCCAGATGATGCAGTCAGCAAAGCAGAACAGAGTTTGAGATTTGAAGAGCATTTTGACATCTGACACAGAGATGAAGAATTTGGAGTTTGCCCAATTGGTTTTTAGTGCTTTGGTCCAGTGTTTCCTCATAATATTCCCTTCCTTATGTTTTGAAATGGTAATGTATATCCTGTGCCACTAAGTGTTGAAGCATGAGATTTTATTTTAGAGGGGATTACAGTTAAGAGATTGTATGAATCTCAGAAGAGATTGAACTTTTAAAACATTTTGGAGACTGTGATAGACTATGAGGATTTTTGAAGTTGGACTAAATGCATTTTGCACTATATTGTTACAAGCTTATGGGTGCCAGGGAATGGAATGTGGTAGCGTGAATGTAATTAGAGCCCATAACCTTACAGGGAGTAGCACTATTAGGCGCGGCTTTGTTGGAGTGAGTACGGCATTGTTGGAGGAAGTGTGTCACTGTGGGACTGGGCTTCGAGGTTTCCTATGCTCAGGATACTGCAGTTTGTGGCAGTTGACTTCCTGTTGCCTGCAAGAGGTAGGACTCTCAGCTATTCTCCCAATACCATGTGTATGCCTGCATGGCACAATGCTCCCGCCTGTCATGAAAACAAACGGAACCTCTGAAATGGTAAGCCACTCCAATTAAATGTTTTCTTTATGAGAATTCTCATACTCATGGCATCTTTTCACAGCAATGGAAACCTTAATTCTGGCAGATGGCTTCTGAGGGTCTTGGACACGTTATATTAGGAGACTGTGGGATCTGAAGTCTGGTGCTGTGCTAGTGCTGGCGTTGCTTTGGCCAGTCTGAGGCTGGCGGCCTGGTCTGTCTCTCCTGGAAGAGCAACTTTAGGTTTACATGAGGGAAGGCAAGAGCTATGCCCGGCTGGGAAGTCATCTGGAGGCCTCCTCTCCACTGCTCTCCAGCAGTGCCTGGGTTTGAGACTGCTGTTTAAGAAGGTAGTAAATTCCTTTTCCAGGACAGCATTGTAGCCAGCCTGGGGCCTAGTAATGTCAGCAGGCTTGGTGGCCTATGGTGGCATGGTATGGATGTTCCGTCACTACAAGTATTTAGAAGCTTTATTCTGAGTGTTGCTTTTCAATTATGCCTCTTGAGCACTTGCTTGTGTGTGTACCTGGCGCACTTAACAGCCAAATGATTCCCTCCTCCCATACTGAGTTCCGAGGGGTCACCAGGCTTGGCATGTGCCTTCAACCGCTCAGTCATCTTGACATTTATTTTTGGACAGGACCAACATAGCCTTTAGATTCATTTCCCCATTGCTGAGCAAGTATCAGCTCCTAACCTCTGCCCAGTATGCTCCTCCACCAGTTGATGGAAACACGGCCTTTTCCTGGGCCCGTGTGAACGCCAGTGGCGCATTCTTTGCTCTTCCTGGCTAGTTCTTTGCCAGCTTTAGTGATCTTAGGGACAGATGTGGCAGGAACAGTTAAGGTCAAATGACCCTCTGGGTGGGCTCTATTCTGAGTTCTAGAACCGAAGATTCAGTTCCCCCGCAAGCAGAGAAGCTATGGTTGTCATGAGTCAGAACCTGCTGGCTCTCACTTAAGGGCACTGTCACACTGTCTGGCAATTTGTGTCATGGCCAGGTATACACTCATCTTGGTCAAGCAGTCCATCCCAGCCTTCTCTGCAGCCTTCATCCTGAGGGCCTGTGTTGTCTGCTGCATGTTCCAGGGTGTCACTGTCCCTGTGTCACTGATCCTACCCTTACCCTGTGGGTTGTCATTCTGGCTTGCTTCCTCCATTGCCTTTCACTTTAGCCTATTTTTTTTCCCCTACATTTTTAGTCTGAGTCAACATGTTATTTACTGGGGGTTGGGAGGGTTGAATTTTTTCAGTCCTACACTTCACTTCTATTCATACCGATAGCGAACTCTGAGCATCTGGGTAAGATTTTATTGTCTCTTCCTAGGCTCCTCACTCAGGCAAAGCAAACTGTACAGACCAGACAGTTCCCTGGTTGGTGGTATAACCTGTCAGTCATTGCCTGGTTGACCAGAGGACCCAGCTTCTGGACAATTCCTGGGGCAATTGCCTCTGGTACACACTCCATGTTCTGTACTTTGCTCAACAGTGAAGAGTCACACTATAGCCTGCCCAGGTTATTGCAAACGGCCAAGATGAGGCTCCAGGTGCTCAGTAGCTCCTAGAGGGACAACACAGATACGGCAAAGTGGCATTCCTACCTTGTGCTTCCCGATGACAGGGAAAGATAGGGGTCCTCATGGGTGCCTATCTTCATGGAAGAAGTCAGAGCACTTAAGAATATGTGAACTGAATCTGGACAGACCCCAAGAGGAAAGCTGAGACTTGACTAACTAGACTAGTGTCATCTCAGGACATGAAGGTATAATTTTGAGGCCAGGGTCCTAAATGGCTATTTCCTGTAAGGCTGGCATAATGGGCTCTGCATGCCAGGCATAGGGGAATTTATTTTGAAGGACTTGGAAAGCTGTGAGGTGGCCAAGGGTGTTTTACAACCCTTCCTACAGGTGAAAATAATGTGGGAAGACTGTGTCTGTAGCCAGTGTTTTTGCCATGGCATGGACTTCAGGCTCTTTTAATCTACCAATACACCACCATTACCAGTCTGGCACACCCATATTGAGGGCAACAGGATTCATGGAATCACTGGACCTTGGCCTATGTCCCAAGTTCATTGAGAACTCCTTACCAGTCCTCCCAGGACACGGCCCGATCTTTTTAGACACTAGTATGAGAGAAAGCTTCTGGAATGGGAAAAGGCTGTTCACCACAGCTTGCCCAACATGGACCCTCAGTTCCCATAGAAGGAAGGACGAGCATTTATTAGAACTGGGCTTTTCTTCTCTAAAGAGAAATGTTTGCTAACACAAATGGCTGGCTTGATACCTAATCACCTGTGAGGTGCGGCTAGAAAGCTCAACAAAAACGAGAAGAGGCCATTAAAGACACGGTGTGGAGGAACACAGCACAGACACAACTAGGCCTGTCAGTTACAAGCCAAATCCTTAAACCTAAGCCACCTTAGCTCCTCTCTTTTCTATGTGGATACCTGCCTGGCAAGTGTTCCGTCAAAGGCTGTGCAAGAAGCCCTGGTCACAGCAGTTCTGCTAGAAACCTAGGAAAATTTTTAGGAAAACTCTGGCTCAGGAAATTTGAAAATGAGAGCGAATGAGTCCAAAGCTGAGATGAGAGAAGTCTTTATGCCACTCAACATGTACAAACATTCCCAACAAGGCCTCCACCACGTGCTTTAAACTGTGATTCTTTCAAGAAGCATGGACAGGCAGCGTGGCCTCAGCATCAGCCCATGTGCTGTCTAGTGTATGATACAGGTCATGGGAGGAGGGAGTCACAGGCTTTATCTTTCAAATTCTTTGGCAAAAGTATTCCTAGCCATGAAACCATACTCTAAGATTTTACTAAGCACGTTGAGAATAGTGGAACTGTAGCAATCTGGGATCTTTCTTAGATGGGGTATTTTTAAGCAGGTGAAGGTGACAATCACCTCTGGGATAGACAATAAGGAAGGGCCTACTGGAGACCATGGTTGCTGGCTTATAGCCTTCTATTGTTTTTATTGATGAGTGTGAGCATGAGCCATAACACATGTGGAGACGAGGGAACGAGTCTGTTCTCTTCCCATGTTTACATGGGTTCCGGGGATCAAACTCAGCTCACCAGGATTGTGCACAAGCACCTTTGCCACTGAACTGTATTGTCAGCCCGTTAGTGGTATTTTGACAATAAAAAATTATGCTGGGTTGTCAGCAAAAACCCTGATGTCAGGACGGAGAGATGCCTCAGTGGTTAAGAGCACTGGTGGCTGCTCTTCCAGAGGTCCTGAGTTCAACTCCCAGAACTCATGGTGGTTCGCAACTGTTTATAATGGGATCTGATTCCTTCTTCTGGAAAGCAAGAGTCCATGCAGACACAGCACTCATAATATTTAAAACAAATAAATATAAACATAAACAAACAAACAAAACCTCAACCGTTCTGTCCACAGGAATCTTGGTGATTTTAGGTTGAGTAAAGAACAAAGCGATTCAACTAAAGGTTAAGCAAATCACAACCCCGTGGGATTACTCAGGGGGAGGAAATACAAGGGTGGCTTTAGGTTGCTCTGAGCGCTTTCATTGCAGTGCATTCACAGAAGTAAGTGGAGTCGGCTACAGCAGTGGTGCTCCCTGGAAGGCGGTCCACAGAGCTGCTCTCCAGCACTGACTGTTTTTGCAAGTGCACACCTTGCTGACTGTTGAGTAGGAACTACAGGTAAGGTTCTCAGTACTTGAACATAACAAAAAGGGAGGTCACCCACATCTGAAGACCCTGCTCACATACTCCCTGCCTCAACAGTGGGTAAAAACACCAAGATGAGCTGGGTGTTGTGCACATCATCCTAGAATGGAGGAGACCGAGGAAAAGGTTTGGGCCACACAAAACTAACAGAAAGCAAACAAATGAGCAAGAGCACGAGACTGAGAGGAAAAGAGGCACAGCGGTGTGCAGCCAAGACCTGGACTCTGCCTCAGCTCCTTAGAAAGACTGTAAAAGGAAGTGACCTGCTGGGGTGGGGTGTTTAAGGAATAAGCAGAGATGCGACCCTCCTTCTGAGGGTACTTCATTCTCTCAGCTCTTGAGAACACACAACTTAAAGTCTGAGCAGCAGTCTCCAGAGCAGAGCCATGGCCCAGGAGGCAGAGGTTAATAGTCAGTGTGTTCAAGCTGCACAAGAGCTTTCCTTCCTTCCCCAGGCCAGACCATGCCTACCAGTTTTCCATCGAGGCCTGGCCTCTTCACAAACTTGGGGATCATACTTTCTTAGCAGAACTAAAATTACCAGTTTGTTGGGGGTCCCAAGGACTGTTAGAATGTTGCTTTGGCCAGGGTGGGGAGATCAAGAAGCTACCAGCCTGGAGGTCAGGCACAAGCTACTGCTCACTGGGAGAAGTGAGGTAAAGGGTTCTAGAACTATTTCTAAGGGATTTCCACTTAACAGAATGAGAGGGTATTGGCTATCTGGAAATGTCAGTCACAAATGATCTCACCTCTAATAAAATGCTACTGTATAATGCCCTGAGGTTAGCACCAGTCAGTGCAGCCTGAGGCAGGCTGATCTCCCACATTGGGCACATGTACCCATCTGAATGACAGGGACTAGTGTCATTTCTTCCACTGAAGCACTCCTGTGAGGAAGTCCTATCTTTGATGCTAGCACTGTCAATCAGGCATCAGGATGGCTGGGCACCAAGAGTGCTGAGTGTATGGTGGCATTAGTATCTGACACCAACACTGGCAGAGGGTTATGTCTCAGCATTCTCCCAGGCTCTGAGAGGAGAATGCTGGGGCTCCTGGGCAAGTCCTGGATCACTGGGGTACCACCATTCACTCTATCGAGCCCCATCCTTCCTGCTCTGTTCATCTAGGTTTGTGGCCTGCCAGATGAGGTCACCCCTTGTGGCTAACTGACTCAATTTCTGATACCAAGTGGGAAGCAAGACTGACCTTGCAAAGGACACCAAACCCAGAGGATGACAGGCAGGAAGACTGGCAGTTAAGTGTGAATGCTAGGCAGGCAGTGAATAAAACCAGACATTTATTTTGCATTAGATTCCACTGGTTTAAGTGTCTAAAAAAAAAACTAGAATAAATCTACTAGCCTCTCTCTACAGGCCCGACCCTCAAGGGCTCTACCCTGACAGAGTATGGTAACTGCTGCTGCTAAGCCTACCAAGGTCCATGAGACTCCCAAGGGCTTGGAACCACTGGCAGTCAGAAGCCAGCCACAGTGCAGTCTTGGCAGCACCAGAGACTGAGCTGATTCCCCAGATATTTCCTCTTGCTGTTAGGGAAGCCCTGGCTCACGCCATGACAACTGCAGTCGGCCACCACCCTTGCTTAGGTGGCTCAGCCTGCTGTGTCTGAGTAGCATACGAGGCAAGACTCCTGCCTTTGGTTTGGATCATCGAGGTCTAGGTACTAAGTCTCCAAAACATCCTTGCCACATGTGGACCTGAAGGAAGAGCTGATACCCAGCAGCCGATTCTTGCTACATCTGCAGAAACTGAGTAATGTGCCTTTCACGGTCTCTTTGTATTTCTCTTCAAGAGTTGCTTGACCCAATTTCTTTGTGTCTGCTCTATACAATGAAAATACAAACTAATTGAGAATAGAAAAAAATAATTAAAGCATCAAATTGTACAAATTACAAATCTGTTCCAAAATATACTTACATTAAATAAAATACGCATTTCAGTAAGATCTACAGTGAATGACTATGCATTCTGGGAAGCTTCACATCTAGGCAGGGCCAACATTCGTGGAAGAAGCTAAGAGAATGTGCATCCAATCACAGTTTATAGCGGGTTTCTTATTGCCAATCTGCCAGTCACACCAAACATGTCATTACATCACTTGTGCAGGACACCGGTTTTGTTGGGGGTAAGGGAAGCAAGTGCTATCCTCAATGGTGAGTTCATTACAACTTCGGAGGAATCCCACAGCCTAGACAGAGTTTCAGGAAACATGTTAAGGGAAGCAGACAATGCTCTCGAGGCGAGGCCCAGACACTTTCTTGCTGTATTGTGTAGTCAGGAGAATGGTCTTCTTCAGGACAACAAGGTCGCAAGACTGGGGCAACCCCAAGGGGCTGACAGGGAGTATGAGGATGGGGAGGAGGGCTACCTCTAGCTGTTTCACATCAGAGACAACTGTGACAAAGTCCTCAGAACTGCAATCTCCCCTCTTATCATCTGGCATAGCGTTTGATGTATTCATCCACTTTGTCCCGGAAATCCTCCTGCAGAGGGAGAGATAAAGCGGAGAAGAGTAAGAGCAGAGCGACACTTCAGGGCACAGCCAGTCCTCAAAGTGAGGGGCTCTATGGAGAAGGCTGGCTTCATGTCAGAACGGTGCCATCTCTCCACAACCCTAGTATGAACTGTGCAGGGGACAGTGCAGTGAGTGTGTGGTGGGGAGGGGCACAGCACAAGCCAGAGCAGCGGAGAACCTGAGGGCATCTCATCTCACACCCTCACTTGTGCCAACAGGAACATCAAGTCTGAAAAAGCATGTTCATGGTCCCAATGCCAATACTCTTCTGCATGCAGTATGAGCCACACAGCTGCTCTTTTGCTGGGAGGCCCTGATGGTCAGAAGTTGAAGTCTACCATGGCCTGGCAACTCTGAGTAAGCTCAGAAACATAGACAACTTCCTTCCCCTAGCAGAAGGAGCCCTGTTCTCTACCTGACCTCATCTGAAGATTGCTACTAGGCCCAGATGCCCAAGCCTAGTGTGACCCTGGGCACAGTTCCCTGAAGCATTCCCCCTGCTGCCCATAAGGCAATCAGACATTGTGCTAGGAGCATTACACTAGGACCATGCTTCCAAAGATTTGTATAAGGAGCTTTACAATAGGAGTGTACTGTGTAATGTACATTAAGTGATTCCCCAGCTACCATCCCAATTCTATATGTCCCCTATACTTTGGAAAAAAGCTGAGCTGATTCACTGAAGTTTATCTCCTGAAGGGCTATCTCTGCTAGTACTCACAAGCTAGACAAGACCATGCTTGCCACTTCTGCTTCCTTTGCCCCCATGGCCCAGTGGCCAATGGACCATGGAGGAGGAGGGGACCCACATTCTTGGACAGCCCTTTGCTTTTTTAGATCCACCTTCCCAAAGTAACTTCCCAGTGCCTTGCTATCCATGAAAATGTGGTTACCTTCACGGTTCCACCCTACCTGCCCCCACCATACCCAGAGAAAGGCAAATGGGCCACAGAGCTTACCATTCTCTCACGTCAAAAAACAATGCTCACTGGGGCTCCTAAGATGATAAAACACAGCAGACTCTGGGACTCACCCAGGACAGTCTGAGTGGGAAAGCCTTCTGAGATCTGGGCCAGTGCCCTAGGTTTTCCCTAGTCTGTTCTCTTCAAGCTTAGCAGTCAAATCCCATGAGGCTGAAGCTCTCAAACAGCTTCCTCTAACAACTCAGCTGTAGGTCACTACTGTCCCCACCGCACAGCTATGAGCTTTGTTTTCTAAGACCTGAGCATGGAGGGTTTCCCTGCTTGTTCTTCACAGAAACGAGCAGGATAAAGACTTGGTACATCCTGAGAGGCTGCTGTGCTCTCTTAAAAGTGCCTACCTATAACCACCTCTCTGCAATAGGGCCCCACCCCAGCCAGCTCTGTGTCAGGCCCTCCTGCTTATTCTTTAAAGGCCAAAAGTTTTAAAAACTTCTCAGTTTGAACACTATGAGGAGGTCAGAGACTTGCTCTCAGTCTAAGTGGCAATCTGACTGTAGGTGACTGCCGCTACCTCTCTACATCTGTGCACTCGCTTGTATGCCAAAGTTCCCACACTGACCATTCACTTGAGATATAGGAGTTTTGCAGAAGGTTGTGCAGAAACCTCAAAATGCCTTCCAGATCACTTCTAGTTTCCAGAGCTGAGCAATACTGGAGCTTACCAGAAACTCCCTTAGAATGTTAACTCAGGACAAAAGACTTCTCTTCCACCTTGACTCCTTTTGTTCTATTCATTTATGGGCAAACCCAGTGCCAGGTCCACAGGAGGCTTCCTACTGCAGTTCCTGTTGACTCTACCTTCCTCCTTCATTTTTAAGAACACACGACTTTAAATGAAGATCATGGATGCTGGAGCCCAAGAGTGTAGCCCCACTGACTAAGTTAAGTAGGTATAACCAGCTGGAGGAGGTGATACAGCGAGGACACAAAGTAAATAGCCACACGGTCACCAAAGGATCAGAGAGTGTTCCTAGCCAGGTGTAGCAGCAAATGTCTATATGCCTAATCTCAGCCAGTCTGGAAGTGTATCCCCAGAACAGGTTTTAGGGCCACCCTGGCAAGACTTCATTCCTGAGAAAAGGAGATAGGGGTTTAGACATATTTGGTTAGAATGCACAAGGCCCCAGGTTCAACCACTAGCATTGCAAAATGAATGAATGAATACACAAATCTCAATCATGTGTGGTGGCACACGCCTTTAATTCCAGGACTCAAGAGGCAGCGGTATAGATCTCTGAGTGTGACGCTAGTCTACTTTACATAGAGAGCTCTAGGCCAGTCAGAGCTACAGAGTGAGGCCCTATCTCAAACAATTAAACAGGCGAGTCTCTTTGCTGCTTACTGAAGCCATCAACTTGAGGTACCTCAACCCAGATGACACTAGACACTGCTCTACATACCTACTCTGATACACAGGCCTGCTTCTGGTCCTTTGTAGGAACCCTTTCCCGGACAGTGTTCTGTCACTTGTCTTCCCAGTCATGGGCCCACACAGGCCCCACAGTGCAGTCGCTGTCTCCTTCTCAGGGGCTTGGGGATCTGATTACAGGCTTTTTTTTTTTTTTTTTAAATCACAAGCACTTCACAGCCATCAGAAGTGAGCAAGGCAGGCAGAAAGTGTTTGATGTATAGAACAAAGCTCTGTCACTGAAGTGCACACGACTAGCCAGTCAGGCCTCCAGCAGACACATCAGAAAAAAAAACAAAATACAGACCATCTTCTATGAAGTGGCTCAAAAATAAAAGCAAACTATTCAGAGGAACTAAGTAAGCACACTGTCACACCTGATCTACCAAGAGGTTTAAAAACAGAGGGCAAAAGCACCTTCCCGAGCAGCGTACAGTGAAGTACATCAACCTGTCAGGCATGGACTTGTGCCCTGATGAGCCTAAAAGATAAACAACCAGCCCACTATTCAAATCAAGGATCCAGCAATCCGGCTGTAGGACTAAACCAAATGCCAGTATATTTAAGGATGTAGTTGTGTTTATTGACTTGGAGTTTACAGCAGGGAAACATCCTGTAGGGGAAAAACAGCCCAGGAAGGAGCTTTTGATCTGATCAGAAAAAAAAAAAATAATAAAGATTGACTGTAATGGACAAGAGTCCATTATTTTGGGTAAAAGCAAACACACATGCTCTCAGCAAAGGGTGTGGAAAGAGGCAGGCGGCCTGATGTGACCCATCCTTCCTTCTATGTCCCTCAACCGCTATGGTATAGTTTTGCTGTTCTTTTACCACAGTAAGCACTCTATCAGAGTTATACCCCAGCTCTACCTTACTGCTAATGAGGTAATGCGCCTGTTATATTACTCATACTGAAATTTTATTATGATTTTACCTGTAATAAAAGCCACTTTCGATATGAACAAACCACACATTTACTGAAACACAGACTGCTTTAAATGGCTGCCCCACACCCACCACTTAAGTTCTCACTTACCCAATCCAGAGACTCCTTTCACCTAATGTGTCTACCTAGAAGCAGCCCGTTTGCCAGCTCACCTTGTCTCGTAGATGATGTTCTGCTGCTTCAATATTCAGTGGATCATCAAAATTCAAAAGATCCTTAAAGAGAGAACTCACAATGAGCGGGGAGGAATCGGTTTCCCACTGCTAGGCATAAGTGAATGGCACAGCAACCTGGACAGCACCCCGCCCCAAGCACTCAAAATTCCTCACAGCTGAGTGTGAAGCGCAGGGGTGATTTTCAAAATGGTGAATGGCAGTTGAGAAAATGTCAAGCGTATGTTTACACAGACTATCCCATTCTGAGGAACTGGAGAAGGCAGCAATCACATTAATCTGATGCTTTCTGATAACTTGGTGATGGACAACCATTCTGAGTGTTTTGCGTGTGTGTGTGTGTGTGTGTGTGTGTGCGCGCACGCGCACATGCACGTGAACACACATACTTATGGAAGTCAGAGGAAAACATTGGATCCCCTGGAACTATAACTAGTTCTAGTTCACTAGAAGCTGTGAGCTGGGTCTTCCGGAAGATCAGCCAGTACTTTTAACCACCAAATCATCTCTCTGGCCTTGAATAACAATTCTTACAATGGGGTTCTTCAACAGAATGTCATTTGTGTGAGAGCACACACATGCAAGTTCCTGAGTGTGGGGGTACAGGTGGGTAATAGGTATATCTAGAGGTCAGGGGTTAATTTCACTCCTTAGGGAGCCTTGTTTTTTTCTCAGATAGGGTTTCTTACTGGTTCCTGGAACTCACTAATTAGGCTAAGCTGGCCGGCCAGCAACCTCCAGCTGTCCTATCTCATATGTCCAGCGCTGGGATTGGAAGCATAAAGCACCATGCGCAGCTTTTTACACATCAGCTCTGTGAACTGAACTCAGGCCGTCAGCTTGTACAGCAAGCACTTTATTGTTTTAGCCACCTCTCCAGCCTCACTGTTCACATTCTCACAGTACTTAAAAAGTATTTATTATTATTATATATGTGACAGTGCATGCTGCACGCACATGTGTTTAGAGGACAACTGTGGGAAATAGTGGGTTCAGGTCATCAGACTAGCGCTCCCATCTGCTAAGCCATGTCACTGGCACTTAATTACTTTGTTTTCTTCTGGAGATAGTATCTCTGTAGCACTAGCTAGCCTCAATTTGCTATATAGATGAGGCTGGCCTCAAACTCAGGAAATCCATCTGCCTCTGTATCCCAAATGCTGGACCTAACACCACCACGCCCTGCTCCATTTCCTTTAAAAAGCATTAGTTTCTTTCTCTCTCCTAATTTAATGTCTGCAGTATCTCCTCAGAGTATACAGTTTCTCTTCTGACCTTGCCTAATGTTCTTTTTTCTTCTTCTGACTTTCTTTCAAAGGTAATCAATCACTCAAAAATCCAATGGGAACAATATCTGGTACCCACAAAGTGAGGGGAGCATAGACTCCTTCCACCTCTCAAAGAACACTCAATCCTCTTGAAAATCAGCCCACTGAGACATTGCTTTTCAAAGAGCACCTGAAAAATGGCTTACTGCAGAAACATTACTTGCAGTACAGCGTTCCTATCTAGGAAAAAACACAGCTGTGACTATGAATATATCAAGTGGGGTATGTGACACATGCTAATTCCAGGACACAGGAAGTTGAAGCAGGAGGATCGACATGAGTTCATGGTTTGCCTGGGTGACATAACTGGGTCAAGGTCTTCAGAGTGAGACCTCATCCCAAAACAAAAAGAAAAGATTAAAACAAAACCTGTTATTTCATAAACTAAGACATATACATATTAAAAACAAATAAAAAGCCTCAAATTCAATATACTTCTGCTCATTAATTCCCTAAACAATTGCTAGTCAAAACAACCAGCACACACACACACACTCTCGTGCACGCGCGATTGGGTAGATAAGACGGACTCCAGAACAGCTCCGTCGGGGCTGAGGAAAAGTGACAGAGGAAGTCCTGGTTAGCTTGTGTCCTCACTGGCTCACAGTCAAACTGAAAACACAAAGGGTCAACAGACAGTGAAGCCCAGAGGAAGGGGCTGAAGAGAAGCACCGCTGCTCTTTCAGAGCACCACACAGTGGCTATCCAGCTGTAACAGCCCCATGGGATTCAACACCCTCTTTTGGTCTCTGTGGACACATGACACACATGCAGTGCATAGACAAGATACAGGCCAAACACACGAAGATAAATAAATCCATTTAAAAAGGTGGTGAAACCCAACTTCTGGAGAGAATAATTAGGCTAAGGCTCTGGGATTACAAACACTGTTGTCACCTAAGACGACAAGGCCGATGTCAATGATTGAGCACGCTGGAAAAACTGAGTGCTGGAATCCAGGCCTGACCTGAAATGCCGGTAAACACTGGCTTCTCTGTAGGTGTGCTCCCAGAAACACCGCAACACTGGGCAGGGCCTCACAGGTTAGTGGAAGTTCCTTTATGTTGATGATACAAGCATGCTGTGTCATAGATGACAGGAGGAGAAGAGCAGATATGCTCCAGAAGGCAGAAAAATCTCCAAATATGTCTGTCACTCTTAAATGCCCCCTAAGTTCCTGCATCACAGTGTAAAATCTGGTTATAAAATGGAAAGGAAGGGTAGCTTACAAGCTTCCATATATTTTAAACTTGTGTTTCAAACCAGCAGTCAGAAAACCAAGAAAAGGGAGAGGTGGCTAATAATATACTTACAGTAAATAAAGAGTTTAATCCCCAAACAACATCCTAAAAGAAAAAAAAAGAAAACAATTCTCAGGCTTCTATCCACTACGGAATATGCATCATAAGCTATCAAACATGCACCACAGTGCTTTTCTTAAGACAGAAAACAGGAGCCCTTTACTCAAGTCTAGCCTCTGACCACCTTTGTAACTGCCTTTCATACTCAGAAAGATGCAGGGACCACAAGCCATGGGCCACATGTGCAGCCATGCTCTATCTCCTGTTGTTACAGAATGGAATTCTGAAATTTACCTTCAAAAAAGCCTGCTACCTTGTAACATTACTGCCTCTTAGGGTTCAGTGATAAATCACTCCACTACATCTTTTTGATCTTCTCTAGTTATTTCAAGAATTAAGGGAGACTCTTCCTTCTAAAATCACCAATTCCCACCCATTACAATAGCACTAAAAACCACTGTTAATCTGTGTTCACAAATTTGATCTTCAGATGAGAGCCATGACAACCACAGACTCCTCTACTTGATAATTCAGCTCCAAAGTCTTGTTCTTTTAAGCTGATTCTCGGGGATACCCCATTGTTACCTGTTAGTGCTAATTTTATTTACTGTTCTGATCTCTCCCATCTATCGGTCTTGGCAAATCTGACCTTCTGGTGTGAGTTAATGACTGGCACTGGAGGTGAAGTCATGAATTAAGCCTGAAAGAGGGGGGCTAGACATCTCAGCTGACAGCAGGCTACTGCTCCAAGTAGTGGAGACATTAGAGGAAATGGCAGCCATCCCAGAAAATTGCAAAAGAGGCAGGAGACTACCTTCTAGGTAGTCTGGCAGTTAAATCCTGAGGACAGGACATGGGAAAAGGCTGGGTGTTCCACCATCAGACCACAGTTGAGGAGGAACAAGGCTATATTAAGTCTACATATTCTGACATAGAATCAAGGTCAAATTTTCTCCCCTGAGGAGGCTATTCAGTAATAATCTACCCATCGCTTCACAATCCTTCTGACTCAGGAAGTAACCTACACACTGTAGCTCTTCCAGATACCGAGAAAGGCTCAAAATAGCCCCACTGAATGAACAAGACCACTAGAACTTTCTCTTGTGGTTCGGAAACCTACAACTTGACTCTTGAGTGGTACAGTATTGGTCAACAAGGACTCTGATCCAATTAGAACTGATCACTTAGTGGAGCACACGCAGGTGTGTGGTTGGGAGAAGAGGAAACAAGGGTGCAATTCTTACAGGACCCAGCTGCCAGAGGACTACAGAAGGAATGCTCTCACCTTCAATGTCCTAGTGGGAGCCCAGCCAGTGCCATCAATTGAGTGCTCTCTTAGTAAACTGAAAGACAGAAACACATGTTAACGAGGAGCCGCAGCTACTCACCATAAAGGAATGAACTGCACTATGAAGCCTGTCTCTTCTTGACCGTGTAGTCTTCTGTCCTACTGAGGACAGTTTTCACCCAAAGCTGTATTTCAGTTACAATGTCTCCTGTTACTCTGTCTACTGACTGTGTAAACTGTTATTAGTCCTTCACACTGAAGTCTAAGCAAAGGAAAGGAAAGGGTTTTTTGTTGTTGTTGTTGTTGCTGTTGTTTTTGAGACAAGGTCTCAGACATAGTCCTAGCTTGCCTAAAACTCGTCATATACTTGAGCTTAACTTAAGCTTGTGTCAATTCTCCAGTCTCTGACATCTGAGTGGTTGGATTACAGGTATGTGTCATCAAAAAAGCATTATTAAAACAACATACACATGCAAAAAAAAAGGTCTTTAATATCCAGGAACAGTGATAGCAATAAAAATGATAAGAATCTACAATTTATCTGCCAGGCATAATACAAAACAAAAATTCCCCAACAGGGGAATCATTTTACCTGTGAAGAAGGAACCATTTGCCCAAAGTGAGCAGCATCCACACCCTCCAATGTGGAGGTTGGTCTCTGTTCTTGCCCACACCCCCAACTCTGGGAGTAGCAAGCCACAACCTGATGGGGCTCATGCATGTTTCCTGGTGATCAGTGCGGCTGAGCGCCTCACAGGCTGATGAATGGTGTCCTTCTGTAGTCAGAGACCCTTTGTCCAGTGTCCGTGCTTTCACAATGAATACTTACACACAAGGATAAGTAGTTCAGGGATCCTCTTTCAATTTTGTGTTTATGGTTTATTATTTGTTGGTATGGTGTGTCTTTGTTTTGAGACAGAGTCTCACTAATGAATATGAAGCCCTGGTTCACCTGGAACTCAGAGATCCAAAAGGCATATACCCTACCTGATGATATTTTTAAAGCTTCTGTATGGGTTTGATGGCAATGACTGCATTTCTCAGACAAAAAAAAAAAAAAAAAAAGACCAAATGAGAGGCACCCAGGTACAGCTCATATTTCTTACTTAATGGCTAGTGCTTACGGAAGAGAACAGAGGTACCCTAAGAGCAGCCTCAGGTTCTAACACTTTATAACTAACACGAGACGCCTGCTTCCCAGGGTGGCCAAACATGAGGCAGTGCCTTGACCGTCGCCCCAGTCCTACTGTCAGAGAGGATCTGCATCACCTGCAGTTGGTCTGGACTAGACAGCCACCATTAATACCCTGAACTACTAGATCAAGGGTCCAAACAGGTCAAAAAAACCAAACCAAACCAAACAAACAAAAAAAACCAAACCAAAACTCAAATGCTGCCTACTATGAAAATAAGCCCCCTTTATCTTCTCCAGCTCTTTTTCTCAGAGAGCAGTAACCTTCAGGGGCAGTAGGAACTGCTAGGGAGAGTGGGACACAGTTTACAGCAGACGAGGTCCATTATGGAAAGCATCTGCAGGGCAAGTGCCTGAGATCACTGAAGCCAGGCTCCTGCAGTTTTATTCCTACCCCACCACCACCCTCTCCTCGTTAGCTAACATCAACCATAAATTGGGACTGTGGTTGTTCTCTAAAGGAGATGGAAAGAGCATCACACTGCATAATGAGGGCTAGCAGGGCCCTCCTTATAGCAATAGTAAGGAGCTACTCCGGTGTGTCCCAGGCATGTCTGAATTGTAGCCAAGAGACCCCCTTGCAGGAGTGAATCTGAAGAGGCTCACAGATGTGTAGAAGGGAGGAAGAAACTCACCTTAGACATATTTCCCCTGTTTCTGTGATATTGGGATGCCAGATTTTAGTCAAGCATTTCACCCTGGGAGGCTGCAACACAGAGAAAGGTCACAAATCTCCCAATCTACACCTGCAATGTAAGCACGTGCTTGCACACGCACACGCGCACACCCCCCACATTCCTCGGTCTCAAACTCCAACCAAGAGCCCAAATTGCTATGCTAAGTCACAGGCCCACACCTGACCATTACTGCTTCAGACAGAACAAATCACCTTTTCAGTCAGATGTGTCTGCAGACTCCAGGGCTACAGTTACAGACCAGGGTTAGTCTACTTTATTCTTTATTTGCATTGTATGTGTACATGAATGTACGTGCACACTGCATGCAGGTGTGGTGCGGGATCCCTCAGAGCTGGACTTAACAATATGTGCTCTCATTCCACACCTTCAACTACAGCTCTGAACAGCTCATGCCACCTGATCCCTGGCTCAAAACCAAATGATGTGGCCCACCACCCCACCCCATGTTCCAAAGGTGGTGCACTCACTTTCTTTTTGGAATCCCTATAAATCCATTTTCTACCATTTACCCATCTGTCTAGCTACTTACCATTTTTAATCACTTCAACTTTCTATATATCACCTTACTCCCTATTGATCTAACCCCAAAAGTGAAAGTCGTGTGTCTGTCAGTCTCGGGTATAGTTAGTATGTAATATGATCTTTTTGTTGTTGTTGCTTTGTTTTTCGAGACAAGGTTTCTCTGTATAGCCCTGCCTGTGCTGGAACTCACTCTGTAGGCCAGACTGGCTTCTAACTCAGAGGTCTGCCTGCTTCTGCCTCCTGAGTGCTGGGATTAAAGGTGTGTGTCACCACCATCTATCTAGCTTGCAATATTATCTTTGAGGAACTAATATGTAGCTATAGGCTATTAATTACCCCAAATTCTAATATTACTGGCCCCTGGAGCTTTGGTATTATACCATAAATAAAATCAGTCTAAAAAAACATGTGCCCTCCCTATTTAAAAAATTTACATGAAATACACAAGAACACCTGCACAGTGAATACCTGCTGAACAAGTGAGTTTCTGTACTGAAACTCTCACACTGCTGCTAATGCCACAAGAAAAACACAGTGAGTTTGCATTAAAAGCACAGCTCCCGGGGCAGTGCCCCCATGTTTCCATGCCTTGTCCCTGTTGTGTGGGTGTGGAGTGAGGTTTAGGCACAGGCTACTCACCACCATGTTGTAGGCATCAGGAACTTCAGTTTCAAACTGAAATTTTCCACCCTGGTAGTAACCCTCATCTATTAAAAACACAAAACAAAACAAAAAATCTTTAAATAAAAAAAAAAGAAAACAAAAGCAAACACGAAGTTAGGATATGGCAAACACAGAATGAAGAGGTTAAAAACAGGACCACAGAGTCCCTAGGTTCCTTTAGCAAAGCTGCACACTGCAGAGCCTTGTCCTGTCCCAACACTGCCACCTTTACAACCTGTTTCATGGGCAAAGGTGCTCTCAATGAAGGGCAGGGTATCCTACAGGAAGACTGGCTCTTTTTGCAGGGCACTATAGTTAGTGTCATCCTCTTAACACATTTCCTGCATGTGTGAGTTTTACTGGTCAGCTTCCAGATTCCCTATGATGATTTCCATAAGGAGGCTGATGAGACCTGTGCACAACTTCCAATCACTCAGCACATGCTTACTCAGCACCCCACCCCAGAGAAGGCTCAAGACTCTGGGCACAGTGAGAATTCGAGAGTTACAACCACTGCCTCAGTGAGTGCTTGGTGAAGCTTCCAGGAGAAAACAGGCCTTTAGGAGATGGGTGCTGGTAAGAACCCAGGAGGATGTCTACAGATAGCATAGCACACAGACCCTCTTGCTTATTTGGACCCAACCTAGCTTCAAGAAGGGGCTGAAGGTGCTGCTGCCAGCAGAGGGTGCTGCAGCCTCTCGGTCTAACTGTGGTGTGACCAGCACTGACCTCATCATGAAGATGCAACACTAAGGCCAACTGCTTCATTTATTATTTTTAACATATATTAGATACATAAAGGAAGCCATCAGCATCAAATAAATGTGACTAAAAGCAGACTTTTTAAAGAATTTCGATGCTATAGGCTAGTAAGACGGCTCAGCAAGCTAAGGTGCTTACTACCAGTCCTGAAGCCCTGAGTTCAATCTTCAGGACCCACAGAGAGAGAACCAACTCCTGCAATTTGTCCTCTGACCTCCACCCAAGAACTGAGGCCAGCACTATGTTATCCAACAATTAAAAAGCCATATTATGGCTCTATTTGTCCCTAGTTTTCACAGTCCTTAATAAATGTTAGTGTAGCTGAAACAGCTCGATTACTGGTTATTTCCACTTCTTCCCGAAGACTTAGTGTGTAGTTCTTGTTAGCAAGAGGACTATCTTTGGGCCACTGATGTAAAAAGCTCCTAGATTTGCCTTTGCTTTTGTTAATATTTTAGTTAAGGTGCATGTTTTGTGTGAGTGTCCACAGAAGCCTACGGAGTCTAAGAGCCCCTCCCCATCCCGCAGAGCTGAAGCTCCATGCAATAGGAACCTGAAGTGAGTGCTGTGGTCACCTGGAAGAGCAGCGACAACTCTGTGCACCCTTAACTGCTGATCCAGGACACCTTAGCCAGCTCAGCATTTACCTGGGGGAGGTGCGTATTGAGAGGGGGCTTTCTCTGCACGGCCATGGCTGTGCTGGAACTCACTTTGTAGACCACACTGACCTCAAACTCATAGCTTGGCTACCACACCTAGATAGGTTTCCATTTCTAAGAAGTAAGTTCTACGTCATGGATTCAGTCTCTGGTGAGGTGTTTTTTAAAAGGTCTTTCACAACCAAGATTTGATGTCAGTCACTCAGTTCACAGAATATGTATTTTGTTTTCTTCCACTCCCAATTGGCTCTTTCCTCTGTTTGATACATTAATCAGATGTCAGTTCGACTGAGTTGAGTCACTTCTAAGGCACAGCTTTAGAAGTGTCTGTGAGCCTTTCTAGAAACTAATCATGAGGACGCAGACCTAAGGAGCCATTCAGTTTGGTTATGAGTATGGAAGTTGGAGCTGGCTGGAGTAAAGGCCACACTATGTATGAAGCTCTGGGGGTTGGTTCTTGCCCTGGCCTTTTCCAATACTGCTTTTCTTTCTGCTTGGCATGATGTAAGATCTACTATGCCCTCCCTACATAATGGACTGCCACCCCGAAAATGTCGAGCAACCCAAATCATTCCTCTTTTTAAAATGTCTCTGTTAGGTCATTTACTTCTTGTAAATACACCTGGATTTGTGACATAGAAACAAGTCTTGGGAAAAGACCCTTGCTTGCTAAGTTTAGCGACAAATAAGGACTTCTCAAGTAGGTGGCATCTTTATATACACTACAGTACATCCATGTGACCCAAAGGTTTGGCTGACCTTGTTCTTTTGTAATCTGACTTCAACCACCATGGCACCGAATATTATGTCAGGCTTCTTCACTCTTCAGATCACAGAGCCACTCTACATTCTCCCAATGATCCAGTACAAGGCTGTGCTGAAGACAACTCTCCCTGCCCCCACCATATGGTCTTTTTTCTTTAGTCAGTATTTCATTGACTGCAATTACTCTGATTTTGTTGTCTACCAGTCACACAAATGTTAGTGTTTCTAATGTGTTTCTTCTTTCATCATGTTCCTTCTGTCCCAGTAAAGCTTTTATTTAACAATTAGAATGTCTTAAGTAAGTAAGATCTATCTACATTTGATTTTCTCTTTAATGAACTCTTCTCTCAGGAAATGATCTGCTTCTTAGTCAGCACTTCCCTATTCAAAGCTGCCATCAGGCCAGACCCTTCACTTTACTATACTAGGTTTGTAGCATACAGTGCAGCCAAGGAGTGGATTACACAGCAGCAGGTCCAAGCTCTGCTCTGCCCCAGGTTTTAGAATGATGACCACAGCTGGTGAGCTCCTGACTCCCCTCCACAGCCCACATAGCCCAAGGCGAAAGAGGCTTCCTCTCCTTTAGACTTGACAGGCTGAAGACTACACCTGTAGGGTACCATGGACCAGCACAGTGTGCCAACTCGTACTACTAGCCACAGCTGCTGAAGCTAAACACATTTTACTTCTTGGTAACTGGGACTGAATCCTGAAATACAGTAAAAAAAAGCTCCTGGTTCCCTACCCATTGTTACAGTTAAGAAGAGAACTTAACACTTCTTTCTACTGGAGCTTTGCAACCTTCTCCTTCCTGCCTTCAAGGAATCACACAGATGATGAGTAACTCAGGGAAGAAAGTCTCGAAGGTTTCATGGACACTAACCCTCGAACAGAACCAACTCTACACTTGCCCTACCCCACAATGACTACTAGGTGCTCTCAAGGCTCATAAGTCACACCAGTTCCACTTTGCTCCTTGCATTTCACTACCTTTCCCTACTTTAAAACACACACACACTCACTCACACACACACACACACACACACACACACACACACACACACACACAC